ACTCAGCTCAGTAAACTGGCAAAGCAGCTGACTTGTCTCCCTGAGCAAGACAGTACATAATTACTAAGAAATATGGTGAGACTAAACCTGCTGTTTGGTACGACTGCTTTCTCATTGTTTAAAATCTATAGAACCTCTTAATTGAAGCACATTTTTATTATTAAATCCAGAAGTAACAAAACTTCAGAAAAAGCACTTTTGTTCTTAAACCTTCTTCCCTCCCCCACATTCCAGAATAAAATGTAGATTCTTGAAGTGATTCAAAACAGTTGTCTCTTCTTTGCTGTTAATGATACCAAATTATTTGGGATTATCTATAGCTTTCAACATAATTAAATTATCAATATTAGAGTTACAATTGTTTGTTTTCCTGGTTTTCTGTAAGCACCATCAGCAGTGGTCATGGGAAGGTGAATGTAACTGTGGCAGTGTTGACTGACAGAGTGATAACAGTCTGGTCAGCATTTTACATCAACATTTTTTCAGAGGAGCAATGTTGAAATAACTGTTATTTTTTAAACGACTTTCTTTTTGAGTCTGCTAAAATGCATTTATTGCCAAATAATTGTGTCTGTATATACAATAGCTTATTGCTTGCCAGTTTTGGTTTTTGGTTTTTGTTGGTTTTTTTTTTCTTCTTTTCTTCTGGCAAGCTTTACTTGTCTTGCATTATTACAGAGCTTGTGTTGCCTTAGCTGAGTAAGTCAGGTTGTGTTTCTTTCTGTGCTGCTAGACGCTTCTCTGTTTCTCTCGGATCTTTACTTCAGAGAGGCCATGTCAGTCATACTTTGGATATTCAGTGACCAGAGCTTGGTTGAGTCTGACCCAGTGTTAATGAAATAAGCCAGTAGGTAGAGATCAAATTTCAAATACCAAACTGAGTTCACAGGGGTATCAATCAGAAAGGTACTGTTGAGCTTTTAAATTGTGTCATTTAACAGACGTGGAATATTTCAGATTTGCACAGAATGTATTGCTGTGGACGCACCATTACTTGTTGACATTGTGGAATACATCTGCTTTCCTTCTCATTTTGAATTGTCTGATCAGTGTTAAATGGACTGTTGCTCAAGAGCAGGTTGTTATGAAAAGTGGGTGAGGTAATTTGACATCTTCTGAAAATACCAAACTAAATTTCTGATTTCTTCCTTTCCTTATGCCTTCCAGATTAATTACAAGTTTGGCTTTTTTTTTTTTCAATTAGATAGCAAACAATAAGGATGCATTGAGAAAGACTTGGAACCCCAAATTCACATTAAGAAGTCATTTTGATGGAATAAGAGGTCTTGCTTTTCATCCGGTTGAACCAGTCTTAATAACAGCTTCAGAGGACCATACATTGAAAATGTGGAATTTACAAAAAACAGCCCCAGCAAAAAAGTAAGATTTATTTTTTTTTTGCTTTGTTTCAAAAAGCATTTTTGTTTATGAAGAAAATAAAAATAATTGTAGATGCAACTTCACTGGATGGCCCTTGGAGTTAATGGAAAATGTTCCTTGAATTTAAGAGTAGGAAAACAAACTCTTAGAGGAGGATGGAGACTTTTAAAGAGTGCAGGAAGAAATCCATGTGTGTTTGTGAATGCATTCTGTTTGTGAAAATGAAAACCATTCACTTCTTTGTATTTTCCTTGTAGATAACATGGCAAATTAATTTACTAGTGGAAATATTTGGATGTGGCCTGTTAGTGTGCTTGCATGTGTATATAAATGTATAAAAATACATTTATATATATGCATATATATGTATACACATATATGCACATACACGTGTGCAGCTTTAAACTTTGACTGAGATGTTGCTAGGTTCCTTTATACACTGTCTCTTGCGTGTTGCTGGAGTTTTGCAGAAGTGAGAGCAGCTCAATTCGTAGTGGGGCTGATATGGTAAAGGAGTACATCATACCTTTTAGGAGGACTGGGCAAAGCATGTGGCCTTCCCGCAGTCTGTAACAAGCACTGAATTGGTAAAGTCCAGAGCAGCAGTTTTTGAAGTGGTTTGTAACTGTGCTACAGTGTTGATATGAAAACAAGGTGGGAGAGGAAGTTGTGGGAGAAACACTTCAAAAGATGTAGCAGAGATTTTAAGAAATTAGTGATTCTGGCACTTCTTTTGCCTTAGCATTGTGTAAGATCATATACATGTTAACATTTTCTTGTGCTTCATTTAGGAGTGCTTCTCTTGATGTAGAGCCAATATATACCTTCAGAGCACACAAGTGAGTATTTCTTGAGAAACATTGTCATATTTTGAGAAATATATGATTTTTAAACAGACACAGAATTTTTTTAAAAAGTAATTTCCACCTTGTCAACTAGTGATTTCATGTGATGCTTTTAGTTCCCATGTTATTTAAAATATCTGCATATGTTAATTTCCTTTCTGCAGAATTATTTATGTCTGGAGCTATGTACGCCACAGTTTTAAAAATGAAAACCTACAAATTATACAGTTCAAATCTCATTAGGTGTTCTGTTTGTCATTGTAGCTTTTGCCATTTTGTCAGATATGTGCATCTGTAAAATGAAGCTGTTTGCAGTGAATTTGAAACTACTGAATTGATTTAATGAAAGAGCCTTAGATCTTTAAGAAAGTGAAAAAAGCTGTTTGTGCAAAATAACAAAGCCTATAGTTTAAAAGTGTGACACTTCTCATATTTCATGTGCATAATCATTAAATTGTCCTGATTGTAGTTACATTACCAAATATTGTGGCGTTTTTTTTGTGAGGAGTGTTGTAGCATATGATCTGACTCTGCAGAATTTTTGTTGCAGTCTGTGCAGCAAGTGAATTGTATCTAACAGGGAAATTTGAAGATTCTGTTGACGCTGTTTTTCACATAATGAAAATGTTAATAGTCAGCGTTTCTTCCAGTGGACCAGTGCTCTGTGTGGTGATGAGCAGTAATGGTGAACAGTGTTACAGTGGGGGAACGGATGGCCTCATCCATGGCTGGAACACGACCAACCCAAACATCGACCCCTATGACTCTTACGGTACGTTGCTGTCACACACACCAGTGAAATGATATGTTTTGTGACATGAATGTTATGTGGCTAAAAGAGTATAATTTGTAGGTAATGCTTCTTTAAAAATTTGAAAGAGAAAATTGAATGTTGTCTTCAATTACTTTAAATTTTTGGTTCAATACTGATGCTGGTTGATGAGAAGATAAAATTTGTCATTTTCTTAAAAAGGGCCTTGATCTCATCACAATTTTGAGAAACAGCTAGGTTGAAAAAGTACAGGACTAAACCTGATACTTGGCAAGTACAGCAAATGTTTATTTTAATGTTCTTTTCTTTGGCAAATCTCTGAAGTTGAGCGAAAAAGAGGTTGTATAGTTTGAGACCAAAGCTGTTAATGTTGTTGCAAACAGCTAAAAAGACCCAGTTCAGTAAGATTTACAAGATCTGAATGGATATGTCAGCCTTATGTCTTTGTTAAAACATTTTTCACTTCTCATAGCTTCGGATGTGGTTGGCCTCAAAGCTGGCTTTTGGAAAAAAGGGACTGATGTGCCATAAATGATTGTTGGAGATTGACTTTTAAAATCAAAGTGTGTTTTGCCAACTTTGATACTGTCCCTTCTTTCGTTCCATTAATTTTAAACCGGATAACTGAATGCCACGTATGCTGATGAAATTCAAGCATCTTCATACAAGAATAATCGAGACTTGTATATTGATATGACGTGATTGGTCTTGGGTTTTTTTATGGACTAGCTTCTTAAGGTTGGCCCATAAACACAGACCAAGGTACAACTATTGACTTAATTCAAATTTTGTTTTGAAATGTAGTTGTTTGTGTTTTGTTCACAGATCCTTCTGTTCTAAGAGGTGCTTTTGTAGGCCATACCGATGCAGTGTGGGGTCTGGTTTACAGTGGAACACACCAGCGTTTGCTGTCCTGTTCAGCAGACGGCACTATACGTCTATGGAAAGCTACAGAAATTGCTCCAGCTCTCAGTATATTTAATGATAATCAAGGTACAGAAAATTGCCCTACCTTAAAGTTCATGAGCATCACTGTTTAGACTGCCATAATTTTGGCTACTTGAATAGAAATTCTTGTTTGTTTTGCTGGATTTTATATCTTTATGAATGTTTTGGGAAGAGTAAATTTTGGGTCCCTTTTCCTTTGACACCAGCTGAATACCTACATGCCATGGGACAGTCACATACATCTAAAAGCCAACTGCTGCAGATGATCTGCTGATGTTACTAGAACCATGGAGTATAATGTATCAACTCCATAGTTCAGATTCAAACTGAGTTTCCATTAGGCCCTTGCTTTTGTTTTGTCCAGAATAAAAACCCTTTCTTCCCCCAACAGAGGTTTGGAGTAGTCAGTTCTTCGTTTCAGGCCAGTGTTGTTGTACCTTCCAGATTATGTTCCTTGTGCCTCTAACACAGAGATTCCAGTTGAATTTCGGGGTTTGCATGTTACATAAATAGCAATAGCCTAGTCATCCTAAATGCTGCTAGTTGAAAAAACTTACTCTTTTGGATTTAGTTACTGAAATGTCATGCACAAATCAAAATCCTACTCTTTAGAGCCTGATTTCTTGAAGTTGCTGTCTGAGTAAGTGCTCTAGAATGAGCCTGTTGATGTTGCCAGACTCTTATTTCAAAGTAGATTTCTGTCCAGCTGCAGTTCTAGATAAAGCACCTTAGTAAGGAATGTTGTTGATATGCATATTGGAAAAATAGGCTTAAAATAGCGATCATACAGGGCAATCTATTTAGATTGGCAGAATGTAGATTTTAAAATGTAACATTTCCTTCCATAATCATGGACCTTTTGGTATTAAAGTGCTTACTGGTTGGGTTTGGTTTTTGGTTTTCTTTACACCAACTAAAGCTTATGAAAATGTTCTCTACATTTATTTTTTTTTTTCTAGAAATGGGAATCCCTTCATCAGTAGATCTTGTGAGCAGTGACCCAAGCCTCATGGTAGCAGCATTTAACAGTGGACACACTAGCATTTTTAACATGGAGACAAGGCAACGAATTCTTACCCTGGAGTCCAGTGTGGATACTAGTATGTATATAAAAAAAAAACCCAAAACCAAAAATATTGCTTGTTTAACATTGATGCTGTTGATAGTCTTTTTGGTGTTTCCAAACAATTAGGCAGTGTCATGATAATGAATTATGTTACAAGCTGTGTTTTGAGATGTAGCAGTAGTAATTTACTGTTACAACATACCTCGTGGGCATTTCAGTAGCAGAAGAGTGCACACACTTTTGAAAGAAGGTAGAAGAAACAAGCCCACACTATCTGAATTCCTCTTTGAGGAACGGTAGCACAAGGAAAAGCACAGGTTTCTTTAATACAGCCAAGTGATCTTAGCAGCTTCAAGATTTCTATTCTCTCTTCAGTCCAAAAGTGCAAGCTAGAGGTAATATCAGGAAAATCTAAAGCTGAATTTATTAAAAATGTGGGAGTGTGTGTGTGTATTCTTGTTTTATTTTTCCTCAGAGGTATCCCTTTTCTAAGTTTTATATACAATCTTGGCTCATTTGCAGTTGGGCTTCAGTTGAAATTTTCACTGTAGGAGAAAAGCACAGTTCCAGTGGAAGAGTATTCACAAGGTCCTGTATAATGCCTTGGATCATGGCAATGGCCTATATCAGAAGTTTGAGAGGAAACTGTAAGGAATCTTCTATCAGTAAATTATTTTACCCTGGCATTAGGAAAGAGACCAGAATGAGGTGAAGCATGAGGTTTCATATTCAGGCCAAAATGGTAACCTGATAACAATATAAACAGTCAGTCTTTTTTAAAATTTTGGTAATTTTTTCTACCACCTCCTTACTGTATATCTGTAGTATTCCTTTAAGAAAATGAGACTGCAATATGGCAACCAGCAGTCCCTGTTTAGTATCTTTAGTTATGTAACAGCACTATAAAACTTACATGTATTTTAAAAAATTATATATAATTATTTCTACAGGAACTGGGCAAAAGGAAAATGAGTCACCTGAAATGCCCTACCACCACCACTTAGGGACTCCACTGTTCAGTATAAGCCTCACGCTGGCATTTTAAAACTCGGGGTAGCTGGCTGTGATGCAGTCTCATGTGCTTTTAGTAATTTTAGGGGAGTTTATTAATATGAATGTGGTTTTTTTTCCTTAATTTACACTTTCATAATTTTTAAGTGTCCTGTGGATGCTGACACTACTTGAGGATTCAGATTTTTATAGAAAGATATAAATTGAGGTCTTTACCACCTCAGTAGCAAGCGATCCTATAGTAGTACTCTATTTTGTTTATTTTAGATTAGATGATGTGAGTGTTCTTTGGCAGCAGTTTAACTAAATACAGTCAACTCCCACATGAAAGATAACTGTATTTTGATGTTCTGTGGAGTGGCTATTTGTGTTTTTGTGGTAATCTATGCCTCTTAAGACCATTCTTGTGCTAGTCTGTACACTACAGCAATGCCTAGATTTCTAATCAAAAAACTCCTATACTTTGTGTGTGTATATATACGTATAGGTGAAGGCTAGGAAAATGACTCTCCTGTGAAGAGTCTGGCATCCTTTTCTTCAATAAGAATTTTAATCCAGGTATATTAAATAATAGTAGGTGGGTTTTGCTTTCTGAGTGTGAGGGCACGGGATCTTGTTTGCTTGGAAACATACTGCCTGGAGTGTTAATTTTCCTGTACTGTCTGTATGTTATGAAGAAAGTTTGGCTTGACAAGAGGAGCAATGTGGAGGTGGGGAAGTGCAAAAAAAAAGGTATTTTCACTCAGTTTTTGGCTTCACATTCTTGCCTGATGAGCTAGCCCATCTAAGACCGTGGCCAAAAGTCGGACCTTATTTGTTTGTATTTACACTCATACATATGGTTTATGTATGCCTCTGTGTGTGTGTAATTTGGAAAGTATTTTAGAATAAACCACATTACAGAAGGTGCTAGCTGCGAGTTTCCATTATATAAAAGGTAAGAATTATTTTGCAAGTAAGATTGATTACATATTTATTTCTTAGTGGCAACCTTTCGAAGAACTTAGCAATTTACATGTATTGACATGTGTGGGTTTTTTTCTTAGCAGTCAGTTCCTCCTGTCAGATAAACAGAGTCATCAGCCATCCAACTCTTCCAATTAGTATCACTGCTCATGAAGACAGACACATCAAATTCTACGACAACAATACAGGTATGCATCTTTTTCAGCAGGTCCTAGTCATAGCGGTTGTATAACATAAAACATAAACAGCATTTCATTATGATTAATATTATTTATGTAAATGCTGAGGGATGTCAAGAATTGGATATCCTCTGAAATGGGAATCTCTCATCACCACTAGAGCCCAAAGATTGCTAGGCCAGTTAAAACTTTGTTGGCACAGTGATAAGGAACCTGCATTGTTCTCTGTCCGTTCTTTTAAAATACCTTATGTATGGGGGTTATCAATATTTAACATAAAAGGAAGCTTTTTCAAAATCTTTGTGCGCTTATGGTCACATTTCTTCCGTTGTGTTCTCTGTGTTATTTTGACCTGAGGGCAGGAAGTTCTGGCACTCCTTTAGTGCTTCCAAGACCTCTGCCTGATGACTTAGAGGTAGAAGTTCCCTTGTATGCATCATTCTCAATTTGATCCACTGCATTTCTCCAAATTGCTCACTTCTGCAGAAACAGCTGGACAGCTTATAAAACTTCTTCTAATTTGTAGTGAGAGTTGCACTGAGATGTGTGATTATAAATCTCTTAGGTTTTAAAGGACTTTTTGATAGGAATGGTAGTATTAGTCTGGTATTCTAACTCTGAATCTTGATAATCTTCAGTTTGTGACTTCTCTGCTTCCAGGTCGCACTGTCTTAAAAGTTAAATTGACATCTTTCAATATTCTTGTTGATGTTAAATTTGCTACTCCCCAGACATGTGTTAAATAAGAAGAGCTGAAAGGACCCGATGGAAGCTGAGGAAAAAGCTGAAAATAGCTGATTTGTTTGATGATGCAGTTTTGTAATAAATAGTAGAGGAAATGGCGCTCATTTTTTTTCTGTTTAATTATCTTCTGCAACAAAAACCCCCACATTTGACTCATGATTTCTTATTACAATTACAGTAAAGATTTCATGTTAAAAATAAGCTGTAATAGAACATTAATTCTGAGTTGCCTAAAATTATGCCATATTCTTATGTAGTTTATATTCATTGCTTATTAGTATATTCAGTCACTGTCCTCCTTCCCAGACAAGATCTTAGTCCTGAACTTACTTAATTCATTTAAGAGGCAAATATTTAAAGGGGCATAGTGATTGCAGCTTCACAGTGGTTATAAAACAAAGATCTAACAAAGTTAGTGATGTTGGTACTGTGGCTCTGCTGAGACTGTAAACATTAAAAGAATGACTTCTCGCCTAATTTTAATGATTGAATCATGGGACAAGATGTGGTAGGGTTTAAGTAGTGAATAAGGATAACAAAGCAAATTGCAGAAAATAACCTAAATACATCTTTTCTTTCAAAGGAAAACTGATCCACTCCATGGTAGCTCACTTAGATGCAGTTACAAGTTTAGCTGTTGATCCTAATGGCTTGTATTTGATGTCTGGCAGTAAGTACATTCAGATTTCATTTTCTTTTTCTCATAATGGTGGCAGACATGAGAATTATAGAGAAAACTTTTCCCCTTTCTTTAGGTCATGACTGTTCGATTCGCTTGTGGAATCTTGAAAGCAAGACCTGCATCCAGGAATTTACTGCTCATCGCAAAAAATTTGATGAGTCCATTCATGATGTGGCATTCCACCCCTCCAAATGTTATATTGCCAGTGCAGGAGCAGATGCCCTGGCTAAAGTGTTTGTATGACAGAGTGCTTCCCTTTCAACTCTAGCTTTGTATATATTTAACCAGCTGCACAAAAGAGGAGGGCATGAGTCTTCTTATCCTGCCCTGTAATTCAGAGAATGTTTGTAAGTGTTTAGTTTTGCAGGGTGCTGTTTTCTAAATTGATGTTTGTTCTGGTTTCTGTGAGCTCAGCTGGTGCTGAGAGCTTGGAAACTCTCAGTTTCAAATAGATAAAAAACAAAAGAAATGCTTTTATTTCAGAGGGTGTGAATTTTCGTCCAGGCAGGCCTTGGGTGAAACTAGGTCTTATGTATTCTCTATTAATAAAGTGGAGTACTGGAAAGAAGGGAGTAGGAAAAGAGGGAAACTTCCTAGGATGCTTCTCATTGAGGAATCTTAATGTACTTAAAATTAAATCACCTGGAAAAAGTGTCAGGTCACATGCCCATTACTGTGTCGTGTGAGGGGCACTTTGTCATCCCTTTGGTATTAATAAAGTAGATCTTGTTCACAGAGCAGTAGTGGATAGTTAATCTCAGCCACCTGGCTGCTAGCCTAAGATAAATGCAATTAAAGGAAAGCAAATCACTAACATAAATTAAAACGCAGTAAAGTTTTTTGTTACATCTTCTGTGTTATACAGTAAATATTTAGTTTGCAAAAGAATTTATATAATTTTTTAAAGACTGTATTAGCGTGTGGCTGGAAGCTGAGCCTTTAGTCTAGTCCTAATTAACAACAGACTGAAGCAGTCTGTATATACTGTAGTAGCAGATTTAACTTATTCAGATTTATAATGCTGTTTGTTCTTGGAGATCTGGCGCAAGAAATTATCACAAAGCTTTCCAAAGAAGCTGTCCTACAGTTTAACTATCAAACATTCATCTCCTCTTTCTGTTCCTGCTAAAAAGGGTATCATTCTGGGCATTAAGGATAACAGTGAAATACTTCTTTTGAAGATTAAAGCATCATATACCTGATGCTTTGTATGAGTCCTGCTAGAGCAATAGGTGGGAACTATACAAAGTTCCATCAGTTTGAGAGATTCTGCCACTTCTAGAGGTATTTCCCGCTTCACCTTTTGTGGAACTTCTTAACTTGTCTGCTTCACTGGGCGTCTCGTGCCATTGATTAGGTTACCTGAAGAATGAGTGCTGCTCATAATTATTCAACAGATGTGCTTTGTTTATGTATTCAGAGCTTCTCTGTTGATTCGAATGACAGCTTTTAATCCAATCTTTTAGTCTTTTTATCCCTTCTTAAAGGAAGGTGAGCGGATTCTTTTCTATTATGTGTCATCATCGGAGTTATTACTGCTCATAAGCCCAAAGTTGGTGTTTTCCTCTAATGGGAATGGAAGGCAGAATTTCTGCTGGAGATGGTTTCTGGTGCTGATGTGGGCAGGCAAGAACCCAATGCAACTCTTCCACATACCAGCCTGAGAGTAAGACTGGAAATTGATAAATAAATCTTTACCTTTAAACTGACACTTTTTAAAAAGGAATCATTGAAAGATATCAACATAGGGTTTGACTGGATGGTTTTAAGAGTGACATTTGGGGATGGGACCACATTTGAAGCTGATGTCAGAGTTTAAATCAACTATATTATTTAGAATAAAAGGTTGACCTGTGCTGTTTGAGCCTGCACACATTATATTTACTGCTAAAATATTCTGGAATACCTTTTATTGCTCAGAATATTCAGATATGTCACTTTGTCATATTGATATATGCAATATATTTCCATAGATAAGATTAGAACTTTTACCATGAAACAGATGACTACAATAGTAATTCAGATTATTTAGTTTTTATAAAGGGTTTGGTTATGATGGAGAGGGGGAAACTTGGCTGTAAAACTGAGCATTCAACTTTGTGAGAGTTCTGTGTACTTGACTCATATTCTTTCAGTGTCTTTATTTTATTTCTTTTTGAAAAGGAAATTACAAAGATTTATTTGAAAAATTCTAAAAGTTATGTATATTATATATGTGTACATATATTGTAAACATGTATTAAATGTGTCTAGTAAGGGAAGACTCCATGGGTGCATTTTAATGTTTTAGTATTAAGAGTTCTCTTGGGTTTGTGCATACAAAAGATAATGGTGTGAGTATGAAATGAATGTTGTGCTTTTGCTTACGCAATACAATATGTAGTTACAGTTGTTTAAATTGCTGTACATAAAACTACTAGGCCGGCATGCTTGTTTTTAAAGACTGTCATTCTGATTACAATTGGAATGTAAGAAGTGGCTGTTTAAATGTGAATTGAAAGATGTTTCCTTCTCACTATTGAGCTCTTGCTCAAACTGAAAAGTGATTTTTTTAAAAGCTGGCAATAGCTAGAGGATGAGGTGCCTTTAAAAAACAAAACAAATGTAGCCTTACAAAGAGGTTGTGGAGTATATATATTTTTGTGCTGGTCTTCATAATTGATGTCAATGTCTTTTTACTGTACTTGCTCACATACTTGTAGGACTGCAGGGTATTGTGCATGAGCCTGTCAGATCTTTTGAACATCATCATAGGAGTTAGGGATGAAAAAAATCATTTAGGTTATCTAGTCCATCTGCTAGCTAAAGCAGGGTTGTAGACTTGTGCGTTTTAGTATTGTCTTGGCCAGTGAGGTTTTATGTATGTTCTAAACAATTAGGCTTCCTTTGGAAGAGTATTTCAATGATTACGTCTTACTGACAGCAGGATTTACATGATGTTCAGTAGTTCTTTTTTCTAACTTCATGCCAGTATGCCAAGCCATGTTTTGTGCCATTTTACGTATTCCTCATTGTCTTTGTAATTTGGAACCTGCGTGCAGGCGCTAGTTGTGGTGGTATATTTCCATTCTTTTCCACTTGGTTCTGTTTATTTCCATTCCTTTCCACTTTCTTCAAACTATTTTTTAGTCTGCTCTTTTTACACAACTTTTTCTTGCCTTCAGCTTTTTAGCTCAGTTCTCCGTATCGGTGACCACAACACCATTCCATGTGCGTGATTTGTTGGACTCAGTCTGAAGGTCATCTGTTAAGTATGGGTTGTGTTTGATTGTTTTTTTTCTCTGTAAGATGATGCTTTTGTGTAGGAAGACCAAACGTGGTCTTCTGGCTAGTGTCTCACAAACCCAAATCGCATCTCTTTGTTTCTGACAACTGTTTTAAATAACTTTGAGCATTGTTGCTTCTCAAGTTTCTTCTTCACTTTCAGTATGTTATGATTCTTTTGCAGCTAGATACTTAACTCCTGTTTCATGATTATCCTGGGTTTTATAAGCTTTGAACTTCTGATCTCTGAGGGCACTAAATTGTTTTTATTTTTTTCCCTTTTATGTGCAGTTATTCCTGGTTCAATGTAATTGGTAGCTTTCATGAATGTGATACATACATCTATTGAAGATGTAAACAAAACTGGACCTAAGGCTTATTCTTGCAAAAAAGCGTTTTTGTGCAACATCAGTATATGGCATTTTACTATTACTGTTTTCCCCGTATCTCTTACATGGTACATTTTTTAATGATTAACTCCTGTAATTTTTTGTGTGTTAGCCTGTGCTACTGATTTTGGGTTTACTAACTTAATTTAATGGGAGAGTTTTCAGTCCTTCTGTGTGTTGAAATTTGGTCCGCTAGGTTTAAATACTCTCATTTTTTATTTCTTATTTACTTCACTGTGCTGTTTGCTTGCACATATTTGATTCAGTTACCAAAACGCTTGCACAAAATGATTGAAGTAGCCTAGAAGAAGCTCTAGATATAATTATATTGTGGAAAACATTTTCTTCACTCTTACAAAATCCTAGTGTTTGCATTTATTTTTGTGCCTCAAAGAGAAAACTTTTGACATACTATATAAAAGATTTTATTACTCGTAAGAAAATCACTCGATGAGTGGGATCTCATTCATCTTCATTTCGATCAAATATGTTCTTTAGCAAAGAAGCCTGTAGAACTATATGCCACGTACTGTAGGTTATTTTTTAGGCCACGTTTTCAAATAATGTTACGTTAAAGCAGTCCCATATGTAATAGGTTTGAGTAAGTGTGTGCTGTTCACCGTGCAGCTCTGTGATTAGGTCATACAACACCATTTTGCGGTTGTGAATTTAAAGTAGCCAGAAACTTGTCCTTTTGAATAAATGTGTGAGAGCTGAAGGACGTAGTTACGCCACCTTTTTCAGTACACCTGTTTGATCACAGGTGTGTCCCCTTTCCCCACCTCCTTCCTCATATTTTAACAATGTAATTTTGGGGAGCAGCAATTTCCATAAACTGATGTGTCATTTGAGCAGCGTTTGATTGGGAGAACTGTTAGTCCATCCCAAAGGAAACAAAAAATAAAAAAGCGGGCGTAACAGATAAGCAAGTTTTGGGTATTTTTAATGCCTTTCAAGATGTGTATTTGGAAGCGTTTGAAGGCTGTGGTTTGGCAGTATCTTTGCAGACTGTCCCAGGGAGCCCACTTGACACACCTGTGTGAAATATCTAGTAAACCTAGTAAAAACCTAGTAACGTGGGTTGAGTTAAGGAAGAAAATGCAGCCATGGTGGTTGTCCCTGTGCTGGTACAAGAGAATATAGCAGTGTTCTCCTTGGAGTCCTCTTTGCTGAAGCAAATCAGGTTTGCAATCTAACATGAGTAGTTTCTGCAGCATTGGAGTATCTGCAAATGAGATTATTTGTATTTTTACTTTGAAAATCTGTAGGCAGCGGTCATTTGGATTGTGTGCTGAATGGCGAGGGAAGCGGGGAAACCATTTGCTGAGCTCTGTAGGGGATAGATAGAAGATTAACTGGTCAGAACCGATGAGCCTTCCATGTGACTGCTGTCACCATGGGAGAATTTGGCTGGGGAGCAGTGCAGGGTTTAGCCCGATGGTATCGCAAAGGAAAACATTAAAAGGTTAGAGTAACAAGTTTAGCGAGGCTTCCCTATAGTGATTCTTCAGATTTATTCATTTGTCCATTGGTTGCAGGTTGTATGAAGGATAAAATCTAGTATATATCCGGATTCCGAAGTATGCACTCTTGTGTCAAAGTAGAAGGTGGAGGTTTTTCAAATTTCAAAACTGTATCACTTTAGATGAGGAGATGGCAAGAGACTTGTAGTAGCTTATTACTTATATTCAAAGAACAGAACTTACTCTTCTGCTAACATAGTCTTCATGTTGGGGACCCAGTTATGCAAAGATAAGTTCCTCAGACACTGTAGTGGGACTACTCTTTTGCTTCTGGATAAACATTTATTTA